GGGGCCTGCCGGGCTCCTTCCCTCTGGTCCTGAAGAAGCTGATGGAGAACCCCCCGCGCGAGGCGCGCCTAGGTGAGGGGAGGGGGTCCGCGCGCGCCTGGGGGCGGGGTTTTCTGCAGGGGCGGGGCCTTGTGAGGGCGGGGCCTCGGAGGTCGGAGGTCGGGGTGAAGTGGTCCAGCGGAGGGGGATGGGGCCAGGGATGATGAGGGACCCGGAGGGCGAGGCAAAGCGGGTGGGAAGAGAAGGTCGGGGACGAGTTGAGAGAGGTTGGGTCAGATGGGGGTTGGCAGGGAAGGGTCAGGAGGGAGATGGTAGAGTGGGGGTCGCAGTGAGGAGGTTCGTTGGGGCGGCCGGGAGCGCGCGCGACGTGTAGGGTTTACTGAGGAGGCTGATGGGGGTCGCAGGAGCCCCTTAAACGAGGCTCCAGGGCGCCTTCTCTGGGGTCGCCTGCATCAGAATCACTTGGGGTGCTTGTTTAAAATGCCGATTTCTGGGCCCCACCCTTTACCCACCGACTCTGCGGCTCCTGGGACAGGAATCTGCATTTTAAGGAGAGCCCCACCCCACCTCCGTGATTCCAAAGTCCAGTAAAGTTTGAGATGCCCTGATAGCGAATTGTCTTCGTATATGGCCGTCCCCCCTCCTGAGAGGAGGACCTGTCTTCATCCCTGCGTGTGAGTATCCCCAGGTACTAGGTACTCACTGGAGATTTTCTGGAAATGAGTTTCAGGGCTGCTGCTGAGGTGGGGGAGGGGTGTCAGGAGAAGGAATGGGAGGCGCCTTCTGAGGGGGAGGTTGGGATGAGACAGGTAGAGGGATGAGGGTTAGAACGAGGCCACTGAGGCCCTTCACCTGGTTGTTTGGGGCTGACCCTAGTCTTTGGGGCCACAGTGTCAGGGCTGGGCTTTGTCTTGTTTCCTAGGCCACAAGGGTCCCTGGGGCTTATGTGGAAAGCAGGTTTGGCCTTGTTTTTTGGCCTGGGCACATGAGGTTCAGGGAGCAGCAGGAGTGCCACCTACAGTGGAGTTTTAGGTGCACTGAGGGAGCATTTCAATCTGAGAGATTTTAATTTCGTAGAACCACTGGTGTAGTTCAGGGATTTGGGAAGGAATGGGCCTTTTGTGAATTACTTGTCTGGGGGGATTAATTATATTTTTTTAAATGCCATTTCTCTTCCTTTCCTGGGTGTGTTCTCAGGCTCCCATCCCTATGGGTTGGGTTACCAATAGCTTCCACACATCAGGTGAGGCAAGGCTCTCTTCTCCTGCTTCAGGACCTCATATGCACAGGCCCTTTTGTTTGTTTTTAAGGCAATGCTTTGTTCCAAATCTGGGGCTGAGTTAAGCTGCCTCAGGACAGGTGTACACATCTGTCAGTTTCTGTTAGATTACCAAATAATAACCATCCATCACAATAATTCTACCTTACATTTGCAGAATGCTCACAAAGCACTTTGGCATAATCTCTATTTAGGCTTCTACAGCCATCCAGTAGGGTATTACCCCACTTCTCAGATGAAGAAAGCTGAGACTCAGAGAGGTGAGGATGTTTCCTCAAGGTCACGTAGCTAGCCCTTACATGCTCTTTATTGTATCACTGGCAACCACTGATGATGTCAGTCCCTCTGACCTGAGTGAGGGGCCTAGTCCTTTATCATCTCTTACAATTAAAACTCCATCTTATAAAAACACTGATTAAAAATATGCTTAATTGCTTAGGCCAGACAAAACCTGGAACTCAGTGTTACTTTTAGTAGTCCTTTTAGTAGGGCTGTTTTTCTGTCTCCTCCCTTTTCCTGCCTCCTTTGATCCCCATGACCCCGCCCAACATGGATCTCAGTCATTTCTGAACAGAATGTAGAGTCAGTATCCCAAGGAAGGAGACCAGGGAGGCCATCTGGCCCACCCAGCCCACCGAAGCTTGGCTCTCTTACTTCCCATTTCGTTTTAAACCAAAGCCTGGGACAGAAGGCAGTTGCAAGAATTCGAGTTAATTTGTATTAGCAGCCATGACCAAATTCTGTTTGTCAAAACCTCCACCTTCTTAACTCACTGGGTGTGTCCATTTTTATTGGACCAACAGGCTGCTTTTTGGCTGTCTGTGGTCTAGGAGTCCGTGCATGACTGGTTCACTTCCAACATAATCATATTTGATTTCTCTTTTTCATTTCAGAATCCAGAATTCAAAGTTGTCTCCCTCAATTTGAAAACACATTATGAACTTGTCATGATTTTATCTCCCACTTCTCTGATTAGCCTCCCTGTCACTTTGATTTCCTTCCAACCTTGTCACATTTTTCTCTTGTCTTTTTTTCTTAATTTACCCTTTCTTGGATATCCAATCCACGTGTATAACTTTTGGGCTGAAACAATTAGGTGGGATCCTGTCCCCACTGAGTGATCAGTTTTGCTTTGGATGGGAGCTGCTTTCTTCTACAGCTGCACCCCTCTCTTCCCTCCCAGAAAACCTGCCTTAAGTCTAATCTGCTTATTCAGGGATACAAGTCTCTTGAAATGGGTGCTCTGAAAAAGGTCCTGAAAAGACAGCTCCAGGCCCTCTCTTTTTGAGAAACCTGAAGGGAGTCTGTTTCTAAACCCAGCCTTCTTCATTCATTATACACATCTTCCTATGGCTCACTGTCTGCCTGCTCCTGTATTGGTCCCTGAGATCTAGAAATGAATCAGACACAATCCCTGCCCTGAACAAGCTCATGGTAATAATGAATGCCTGCTATGTGCCAGGAGCTCTACAAGACACTTTCAAATGTTACCTCTGATCTACACCAAAGAGGCAGCTTTATCCTTATTTACAGTGGAGGACACTGAGGCTGGGAGAGGTTGAGTAACATGGCTAAAGACACACATCACTGCAGTGGGTGGCAGAGCTGGGATTCAAGCCCTGGGCTGGGTTGCTGTGGAGAAGCGCAGCTGGAGGGGACAGGACAGGAGAACACAAAAGTTCTTGGCCTGAGCCCTTTCCTAAGATACCAGGAAGGGTCAGAAACTCCATTTCCTCCCTGTAGCCTCTCTCCGGCGGATGGTAATCCCACAGCCCATTCTGAATTAACCCTGGGGATACATCAGGCCTCAGAGCTTATGGAGAGCATCCTAGGAAACCCAGGCACGGATGAGGGTCTGCTGCCACCTCTAAAGGAGACCATTGCTCCTGGTTCAAGCACCAGGTTATAACTGGAGAATAGAATATGGGCTCTTGACATTCATGGATGGATCAGGACTCCGAGAGAGGTGGGTCCACCCTGTGAGGCTCACTGCTCGCCTCCTGGGAGTGAGTTACCCTCTTGAGTGATGTCTCATCACAGATTTTGTGTCTACAGATAAGGAAAAGGGGAAGGAAAAGCTGGAGGAAGACGAGGCTGCAGCAGCCAGCACCATGGCCGTCTCTGCCTCCCTCATGCCACCCATCTGGGACAAGACCATCCCATATGATGGCGAGTCTTTCCACCTGGAGTACATGGACCTGGATGAGTTCCTGCTGGAGAATGGCATCCCTGCCAGCCCCACCCACCTGGCCCAGAACCTGCTGCTGCCTGTGGCTGAGCTAGAAGGGAAGGAGTCGGCCAGCTCCTCCACGGCGTCCCCACCATCCTCCTCCACCGCTGTCTTTCAGCCCTCGGAAACCGTGTCTAGCACAGGTTGGTGATGGGCCTTCGGGCAGGGACACCTGCCGCATCCGAGGAAATCTGCTTCCCACTGAGGGCTGCTTGTGTCCACGCACCTAGTGAGCCCCTCCTCTCAGGGGAGGTCCCAGTGGGCCTACAGGGAGCAGAAACCCTGTGCTCCTCACCCTTCAGGACAGCCCCCCAAGGCTGGACATGAAAACAGCAGTCCCCTCGGCAGCAGCCAGAGCCTTTCTGTTGGTTGTTTGCTGCAGCTGGTTAGCCCGGTGCAGCGAGCCCTCCCAGCCAGAGGCTTCACAGGATAGAAATCCTTTTGCATCCTCGGTCCTGCTCTTTACCCCCACGCGCACCTTGCCACAGATGATTAGGAAGCTCAGGCGACACTAATAATAACAACAACAACAGCTAACATTTATAATATTTAGCACTTACTCCGTGCCAGGCATTAACACATAATCCTCACAAAAACCTCCTTGTGAGACTGATACTGTTATCCTCATTTTATAGGTGAGGAGACTGAGAAGTTAGGTAACTTGCTCAAGGTAACACAGCTGGTAGGAAGTGGAGGCAACATTGAACCCAGGATGTTTGGCTGTTTAGCCAGGTTCTGCTCAGGCACTGGCATGAAGAAGGCATTTCTGCTGCCAGGACAGATACCATCTTTGGGATTCCCCCCGCATCCTCTTGTCCTTTTTCTGTTTTACCTCTGGAGATCAGTTGGTTGGTTTTCATGCCCCTGGGTCACGAACCCACCAGAGGAGGCATGGCCCATGTTTCAGGGGCTCTGCAAAGCTTTCTGCAGGCTCAGTTCGAGGCGTATAGGCAGATGTCTCCCAGGAAAGACCCCAGGAACTGGTGTGGAACCCAGGGAACCTGCACCCAAGGAATTGTCATGCTCAATTTTTTTTTCCTTTTTATTTTGCAAAAACGTTCAAATAGAAAAGTAAAGGGCTGCTATGATGAACCTCCAGTAACCATCACTCAGCTTCTCTAATAATTAACTTGTAATCTATCTTGTTTTCTATAACCTCTTCCATTCCCTTAACCTGATTATTTTCATTCAAATCCTAGGTATTATATCATTTCATCGATAAATATTTCAATATATATATAAACTATAAGGGGTCTTTTAAAAAACAGAACAAAAATACCAATTTAACATCAGAAATTGACAATACATCCATCAGCATTCAAATTTCCAAAAAGTTGTCTCATAAGTGTTATTGCTTTACAGTTCATTTGAATCAGGAGCCAAACAAGACCCACATGTTTCAGTTAGTTATGTTTCTTAAATCTCTTGTAATCTATGGGGTCCCCTCTCCTTTTAATTTCTTTGCAATTTATTTGTTGAAGAAGCTGAATTGTTTGTCCTGTAAAATATTGCACATGCTAGATTTTTCTGACTATATCCCTGTACTGCCTTTTAACATGTTCCTCTGCCCCTCATTTCTTTCCTGTAAACTGTTCAGCTTGAGAGGCTTCAGCTGATTCCAGCCAAATTTTTGTTTGAAGGCAGCGCTTTTTTTTTTTAATTAATTAATTTTATTTTATTTTATTTTTTTAATTTTTGGCTGCATTGGGTCTTTGTACGTGGGCTTTCTCTAGTTGCGGCGAGCAGGGGCTTCTCTTGTTCTCTTGTTGCGGAGCATGGGCTCTAGGTGCTCAGGCTTCAGTAGTTGAAGCACGTAGGCGCAGTAGTTGTGGCTTGCGGGCTCCCGAGCACAGGCTCAGTAGTTGTGGCACAAGGGCTTAGTTGCTTCGCGGTATGTGCGATCTTCCCAGACCAGGGATCGAACCCATGTCCCCTGCATTGGCAGGTGGATTCTTAACCACTGCGCCACCAGGGAGGTCCCTGAAGGCAGCTCATTTTTGTGCTGGTCAGGTTGTCCTGCAAGGCCGGTTCCATGTGTGGGTAGGGGACAGAACTGGAAATGAGCCCTCTTCTTACACCTTAGACCACCTAGGTGGCATTTGCCTTTGATTTTGTTTTTAAGTAAACCTTCTTAATGAAGTATGGCATCCAGAAGTGCCAGTATCATAAGTATCCCACTCAATTAATCTTCACAGAGTGAACCCACCTGTGTAACTACCACCCAGATCAGGATAGAGAGCACTGTTGATATCCGCAAAGTGCCTTGGGACCCCTCTCGGTCCTTGCTCCCCAGAGGTAATCACTATCCTTATTTCCATCACCAAAGATTCATTTTGCTTATAGTCGAATGTTCTATAAATGGAACTGTATATTATGTTCTCTTCTTTTTTTAAACAATCATAAGTCAATTACATTTATACTCTCACATTTATAGCATCCTATAACTAGCCTTATAGTAACATATAAATCATGTGGACATCAGTAACTAACAAAATAGATTTACAGCACATACTTATGGAAAATTCCTGTGACAGAGAGAAAAGCCACGAAACAGATGAAGTAAGAGTTGTACACATGGTAGAAATGAAAGAGTTCATTTTTCAGTTCCTTCTGTAGAAAAGACATAAGTATGTATTCTTTTGTGTCTAGCTTCTTTCCTCAGCTCCATTTGTGAAAATCATCCATGTTGTTGCCTGTAGCAGAACTTTGTTCATTTTCGTTGGTGAATGGTATTCCATTGTTGTATTGTATGACTACACCACAGTTTATCCACTCTTCAGCTGATGGGCACATGAGATGTTTCTAGTTTGGGATTGTGCATAGCACTGCCATGAATGTTTGCGTGTGAGTCTTTGGTAAATACCTATATGCATTTCTGTCGGGCATTTACCAAGGAATAGAGCAGCTGGGTCATCAGACATGTACCCAATCAGCATTTGTAGGTGTTGCCAAATAGTGTGCAAAATGGCTGTAGCCATGTGTACTTCCACCATCAGGACAGGGGAGGTCTAGTTGCCAGCCTTGGGTGCCTTGACTGTTTGTTGTTTATTCCTGTAGTTACCACATTGGTCCCTGGTCATTCACTCCTCTGACACTCATCCTTGTTTGTAATTAACCCGTTTGATAGGATACAATTAGTTTATATGCATGATCCAGTTAAAACCTAAGTCTGATCATGTTGCACCTCTGCTCAGAACCCTCCAATGACTTCTTTCAACTCAGGGTGAAAGTCAAAATCAGTGGCCCTATTGACACTTGGACCAGATAATTTTTTTGTTGGGGTTGGGGAGGGACTGTCCTGTGCACTGTGGGATGTTTAGCAGCATCCTTGGCTTCTACCCACTAGATGCCAGTAGAACATACCCCCGCATCCTAACATGGTCACATATCCCCTGCAGAACAAAATCGTCGCCTATTGAGAACCACTGCTTTATTGGGATTAAAGGCCCCATGTTTCCTGTTCTGGGCCTTTCCGGTTCCTCCTGCCTCTCATTCACCCACTGCAGCCACATTGGTCTCCTTTGCTCTTCCTTGACTATCCCAGTGTTTGCCTGTGCACAGACCATGCACCTGGTGTTCACTCTCTGAAATGTTCTTCTCTCAAATATCCACGTGGCATCTAACAGTTTTATATAGGTATTTGTAATTTATCTTGTGTAATGTTGGCCTTCCCCACTAGAATAACATTCCATGAAGGCAAGGACTTTTACTTGTTTTGTTCACTGCTTTGTCTTTGGCATGACAGTTCTTGGCATATAGTAGGTGTTCAATAAGTATCTGTGGACTGAATAATTATTTTGTGTACTCCTATCAGTAGCATTGAACAAGTAGGCCAAAGGTGTAGATTTTTAAAATAAATTATCTCTAATAACACATAACCTTTGAACAGGTTTTTTTGTGTGTTTGTTTGTTTTGGCCTCTCCGCACAGCTTGTGGGATCTTAGTTCCCCATCCAGGGATCGAACCCGCTCCCCATGCAGCGGAAGTGCAGAGTCCCAACCACTGGACCGCCAGGGGATTCTCCCTAACACATAACCTTGAATTCTGAAAGTTCCTTAAATCCAATGTCCACTATAAAGCCACAGCCAGGTAGGGCGGAGAAGAACAAGGATTCAGAGTCAGCCAGACCCAGACTTAACTTTTAGTTCAGTCATTTACCATCCATGTGATCCTGGGAAAACCATGTCATTTCTTTGAGCCTTAGTTTCCTCATCTGTAAAATAAGGTTAACACCCATCTCCCTTTCAGAGTTGTTACAAGACTAAATGAACACAGCCACTGATTTGTCTCAGGGGATTCAGAAATGGGAGCCATTTCGTTATTCAGTCTGTGTCCCTAACCCATTACAGTTCCTCGTGAGATTCAGCTGTTTCTCATTACTTGAGAACTTGAAACCACAGGAAGTTAAGGGGGTATGATGATTTAATGTTTTGCTTAACATTTCTGGGGGGAAAAAACAATCGGAAAATTTTGTCTTTTTCGAGGGCCTCTGTTTCCTTTTGAGCATTTTGTTCCTAAAGGGAAGAATTCTTTCCATGTTTGTGTTGTTGAATTGAATCACATATGCCAGTCTGGCTTGGGGGCTGGTGCTGTGGTAGTTTTTCTTCCCTCCAAGCGGCAATGGCTTGTGCAACCTTGAGATTCAAGCAGGTGTCTGGGTGTGTGACGTGAGTCTTGGCTGTCCAGTGAGTCTAGACTGTTTCAGGACCACCTGCCTCTGTGTCTTCCAGAATCCTCCCTGGAAAAGGAGAGGGAGACACCCAGTCCCATCGACCCCAACTGCGTGGAGGTGGATGTGAACTTCAATCCCGACCCTGCCGACCTGGTCCTCTCCAGTGTGCCGGGCGGGGAGCTGTTCAACCCTCGGAAGCACAAGTTTGCAGAGGAGGACCTGAAGCCCCAGCCCATGATCAAAAAGGCCAAGAAGGTCTTTGTCCCCGATGAGCAGAAGGTAACCTGGTATATCCACTGTAGTGAAGGTACAGTGTTGGTTCAGAAGCCAAGGGGCTGTGCTCCTTCACATGCGATTTCATCTGGAGTACCCTCCCTCCTGTGGACACATTTAGAAAGGCATGAGTTCAGAGCTTAGAGCCACATCCTGCAGCAACTGAGAGAAAGAAAGGGAGTTGGGTGGCATTTGGCCCCAGCATGACTCCCTGCAGCTTCTCTCTTTCCTTTCTGGCAGCCAGCTGTGCTGATGCTCTCACTTCCCTGGCTTCAACCCAGCCTTCGGGCAGGAGCTCACTAGGCCACAGAAACTGGGGTTGAACAAGCCCTCACTTTGAAGGACAGAGGATGGTTGTGTATTGCCATCCCAGGGATTAGCAAGCAGCCTTCAAGCTGGTGGTTTTGTAGGAACTGGGAGGGGGGAGAGAGAGGAGGATTTTGCAGCTTTTCCCTTCCCTCTGATGAAAAACTCATAAGAAGAACTTTTCTTATAAGCTTTGGAGTCAGGCAGACCTCAGGTTCCTCATCTATAAAGTAGGAATTACCATACCTTCCTCTTGAGATGTTTCTGAGGCTTTAATAATAACAACAATAAATACTGTAAACCTTTATGTGGTCCTTACTGTAAGCCAGGCACTGGTAAGCCAAGCACCTTGTACATATTAACTCATTTTATACTCAAGCAACTCTATGAGGTAATTACTGTAATTATCCCCTGTTGTAAAGATGAGGGGCACGAGATATTGAGAGGTTAAGGAACTCGCATGGTTCCACTGCTAGAAAGTGGCAGAACCAAGATGTGAACTCAGGGGACTGGACTCAGAGTGTCCACCCTTAGCCACAGCCAGAGTGCCTAAGTGTGAGGCAAGAGTATAGGCAGTGCTTTATGTTGGAGCAGCACAGAGCAGGCCACCAGTAGGTGGAGCGCCCTTCCTTCCACCACAGATCCCACCAAAGGCTTGCATTCTCATCCCGCCTCCCTGGGAAAGGGCGGGGCCCCTTGGTGTCCCGGGGCACATGCAGCTCCTTCCCCGGGGTCCCAGCTCTCATTCTGGCTGGACCACGTGGGTTATAAGAGGAATCGGGTGTGTGCAGTGCTGGCAGGAGGGGAAGGTTGGGTTCCCTCATGGGAAAGAGGAGAGACCCACAGAGGACCCTTCCCGACAGGACGAAAAGTACTGGACGAGACGCAAGAAGAACAACGTGGCGGCCAAGCGGTCTCGGGATGCCCGGCGCCTGAAGGAGAACCAGATCACCATCCGGGCGGCCTTCCTGGAGAAGGAGAACACAGCCCTGCGGACGGAGGTGGCGGAGCTGCGCAAGGAAGTGGGCAAGTGCAAGACCATCGTGTCCAAGTACGAGACCAAGTACGGGCCCTTGTAACCCGTGCCCCCACCCGGGCGCGTGCCTCACCTCAGACCTCTGCCTGGGACCCCTGAAACCCACCCCTGCGTGGAGACTTATGACTCGTCGTGGGCGCATGGCGGTGCACCTGCCCCAGGAGCCTTCACGTTCAAGCTTCATTATCACATGGCCAGCACGGCGACTTCCCTGGGGGCCAGCCTCCTCCCTGGCGGGATGCGAGAGAATCTATGAGGTGGTGACTCAGCCTTAGTCTCTGTTCTTGGCTGTCTCAGCTGGACCGGAAGCGGACCTCTGGAGCATGGGCTCTTCTTTTTCAGGGTACCCAGGCTTCCCTGACTCTCCCTGCTTCTCCAGCCTGGGCCGTCCTGGCCTGTCTCTGCAGAATGAGTCATGATGGCTGTCGCCCTTACATCTTCTCAGGTAGCAGGGCGCATTTCCAGGCAGGGAGGGTCTGTTGTCCTCCCCAGAAAGTCTTAGAGAAAAACATCCGTTCCCATCTTCCTCAAAGGTAAAAAGACATGCCAGCTCCTCTGTAGTGTCCACGTGGGTGCCAGGCCGCAGCGGCTGGGTGTCTGCACAGCCTGGGACAGGCTTTGCATCTGGGCCTGCAACAGAAGTGCACCCAACCATTCCTGGCTCCCTCACCCCTTTTCTCTGTGGCTCCGAGGCCTGGAAGGAGGAGGCCCTGGTGAGGGGTTCCCTCTGCGTTCCATCCGCCGTTGGCTGGGGAGAGACTCCCAGGGTGGTGGTCTCTGAGCCTTGGTCGCCGTGCATATCTCCTCTTCTGCAGGTCACTTGTGGAGGCCGCCTGAGTCAAATTTGTCCCACCAGACTGGGCTTCTGGGCCTGCTGTTTCTTTTCGTACAGTGACCAAGCTCAGATCTTGGATTTAAAAGAAAAAGTCTCCTCGTCTAGGAAGCTTAACTTCCTGGAGCTGGGATGCACCTTCTGCATGGTGTTCAGAAAACCGGTCTCCACAGCCCCTCACACTGTAGGTGGGGAACTGGGGTATGTTTCTCGAGAAGCTCCCGCTCTTTCTTGCTCTGCTTTCCCGTGTGGGCCAGGCCCGAGTCCACTGTCCCTGAAAAGCAGAAGAGGGCTTCCCAGTTCTGGCTTCAGGATCCACCCCGTGCGAGCGGCCTGGAGGGCGTCACCAGGCAGGACACCTCGTCACCTGGTCGCAGCACAACACTTTTGGAACAGCGGGCTCTTGAGACATTTACATAGGCTAGAGTCCCCTCAATCTGGGTCCCAGGAGACAGCCACCCGTGCAAGCCTGGCTGTGGTGTGGTGCGGAGGGGCCCACCTCCCAGCTGCTCCTTTCTCTTGTGTCCAGCTGGACTCGTCCTTTGGCTCTGCCCGAGAGATTAATTAAGCAGATCCGTGGAAGCGTCTTCTCGCTGTGGTCGGCTGGGGCACCCAGAGATGGGTGTATTTATTTGCTCAGGGCAGGCAGCCTGTGGTAAGGAGGGGTCAGAGGTAGTGGGCACACTTTGTCACATTCACCACTGGCTTTATTTAAAGTGGTGGCTTGGAGTCCTGGGCCTTGACCCCTAAAGACTTTTCATAACAGATGTTAAGAGCAGGGGAAGCCATCCACTGGCCGTGGACCACACCCCAGGGGAACGCCACGGCCCTCCAGGGACCTGCACACTCGTCTCTCCAGGGGACTTGACAAGGGTCCCTGAGGCCAAGGGATGTTAGCGCCCTCCCTGCAGGCCCCTGACTTTTACTTTGTGGTTCTATGAAAACCATGTTCACACTTTTCACTCTATTGTAACCACAACAGGGCAGTTGCATCCGGCATGTCAGTGTCCTGCCCTGGGCAGCTCGCCCGCCCGGGCACACTCCCTCTGGTCTGGCCACCCACCAAGAGGGCACTTCTCATTTTTGTTATTGGTAGAAGAGCCACCAGCTTAAAAGCTCTTCATTTTCTTTGGCCAGAAGTGTATGGTTTGTGTTTTTTTTTTTTCAGTTTTTTCCCTAAGGGATGGACATTTAGTCTCCGGGTGGCGTCCACTTTCCAACCCCAGCGGGTGAGATGATGGCCTGATGTCTCTTCTCTTTGTCCCACCTTCTGCCTGGCCAGTGCCTGATGTCTCTTCTCTTTGTCCCCCCTTCTGCCTGGCCAGTGCCCTCCCCTTTTACCCCCCCCCCCCTGCCCCCACCACCAGCCAGTGGGTGTCTGGTTCTCTCCTTACTTGGGAAGAGTGTGGTGCTGGCTTCTTTTAGAAGAGCCCCTTTGAGCCAGGAGCCTGGCAGGGACAGGAAGGAGATGTCTGTGGAGGTTGACATTTTGGGGAAAAGGGTGCTCAGGTAAGCGTGTCTTCTTCCCAGGCTTAAGGATCAAGCCCTTGCAGGAGGAGGGGGTGGTGCCTACTCAGTTTCCATTGTGGAGTTGGGAGTCTCCTTGACTCCCCGCTGGACCCTCTCTGTCTTGGGGCTGACAGCCAAAGACTGAGGCGCCTATGCTCAGATCTTTGACATCCTCTAAAAAGCACTGGAGACTAGAGACGCCAATGTAAATGGCTTTCTGTGGGCTTGCAGTGGGCTGGGAAGCGCCATCCTTACCTAAACACCCTGTCTTCAGCCTCATTGCAACCTCAGAACAGACAAATCATGAATGAATGAGCTAGAATGTTGCAAGAATATGCATATAATAAATGTATATCTAGATAGAGAAATATATATATTCAGAGAGAGAGAGCTTTCACAATGGCCAGCAGCCTTGTGGAGGACCTGGGTAATTCTTACCCTTGGCCAAAGGAAAGGGTTTGCCTGCCTGGGTCCTGAGGTTGCGGAAGGCACATAGTAGTGAACCTTGACTCGGTAAAGCATCACCCTGGTGAGGGGACCTGCTGTGGCCCTGGCAGGCAACTCCTGCTTGAGGTGGGGTGGCAGGCATGGGGGCCGGCAGAAAAGGGCCCCTTCATGCTGTGCAGCTCTCCATCCAGGGCCCTGGGAGCAAAGGGCTGAAAGCCCCTGTTTTTCATGGCAAAGCCCCACCCCAGAGCTCCTTTAACATCTGTTAATTAAGTGCAATAAATTTTTCTAGAAAATGGCAAAGATGACTTCCAGGTGGATATTGCTGTCTTACAGTGTTGGGGATGCCAGAACACCACTTGGTTTTATTTTTCTAAGTGCATGTGACATGACAGAGTGTGTGGGGCTCTGCGTCCTCCCCTGGGAGCTGGCATTCCAGCAGGCCTCTCTCTCCTTTACCTTTGCTGGGGAAGGAGGCAAGGCGCAAACCCTTCTTCCCAGCCGGTGAGGGCAGAGGCAGAGCGTAGCCCACTGGCCTTATGTGCGTGTGTGCGTGCGAGTGTGCCGCTGCCGGTGGGCCGGAATGATGTGGCGGGAGGGAAGCGGGGAATGTATCCTTTTCAAACGAAATTAAATATTTTGAGATGAGAATTGTGGGGCTGTCTTTTCTGTCCTCCCCACTTCAAGACCAAGTCACCTAACCACGCTGTGCCTCAGTTTCCTTGTCTGTCAGCTATAAGTAATTTCTGCCCCCTAACCTCACAGTTTACTCAGGAAAGACAAGTATCAGGCCCCACGCAGTTAGAACAAATAAAAGTGCTGCACAGCTGGTAGAAATACAGGGAACTGCTCATGAAAAGTGTCCGCAAACAGGGAACCCTCAGTGGCAACGTGGAAAAGGGGCTGGTGGTGGGATTCTAGAGGTTTTCCTTTTTTCCTTTTGCCAAATTTTGTCTACAGCCATGAGACCATCACAATTAAGACAAGGTTACGGGGCTTCCCTGGTGGCGCAGTGGTTAAGAATCCGCCTGCCAATGCAGGGGACACGGGTTCGAGCCCTGGTCCGGGGAGATCCCACGTGCCGCGGAGCAGCTAAGCCTGTGTGCCACAACTACTGAGCCTGCACTGGGGAGCCCGTGAGCCGCAACTGCTGAGCCCACATGCCACAACTACTGAAGCCCATGTGCTTAGAGCCCATGGTTCGCAACAGGAGAAGCCACTGCAGTGAGAAGCCTGTGCACCACAATGAAGAATAGCCCCCGCTCGCCAAAACTAGAGAGAGCTTGCGCACAGCAACAAAGACCCCATGCAGCCAAAAATAAATAAATAAATTTATATATATATGTATTAAAAAAAGACAAGTTTATAGACTTCCCCGGCAGTCCAGTGGTTAAGACTCCATGCTCCCACTGCAGGGGTTGTGGGTTCGAGCCCTGGGATCCCTGGTCAGGGAAGTTTGGGCAAGGTTAATACACAAGGGTGCAGCTATTTGCTCAGCACCAGAACCGTCTTGTTGATCTGCTCAGCATTGGCGTCCCTAAGACCCCTACTCAGGACAGGCCCAGGCTCCTGGGGTGGGCACGGAATAGGGTGTCCCACCCTTGGCAGAGCCTGCTGCAAATTCCACCCCCTTCCCGCATCTCCACCCACTCTTCACGCTGCTTCCGCTCACTCTGTGTGTGCGTGTGCAGAGCTGGTGCTGCCTGCTTCCTCAGTGAGGCCCAGAGCTGCCTGTGGACAACCGTGGCTGTTCTCTCGTGCTTCCCGTGCTGCGTGTTGTTAATGCTCAGGGTTCCTGTGGTTTGAGGGACCAGGAACTATTTTGTTTCTAAGGGGAAAAACATGCATTTGGAGTTTGGAGATGGGCTGGCAAGGTGGACTTTTCTTTTTTGGCTGTGTTTGGTCTTCATTGCTATGCGCGGGCTTTCTCTAGTTGCAGATTCTTATTGCGGTGGCTTTTCTTGTGGAGCACGGGCTCTAGGCACGCGGGCTTCAGTAGTTGCAGCACATGGGCTCAGTAGTTGGGGCTCGCGGGCTCTAGAGTGCAGGCTCAGTAGTTGGGGCACACGGGCTTAGTTGCTCCGCGGCATGTGGAATCTTCCCGGACCAGGGCTCAAACCCGTGTCCCCTGCATTGGCAGGCAGATTCTTAACCACTGTGCCACCAGGGAAGTCCCAAGGTGGGCTTTTTTAAATGGCCATTTTACAGTAAACATTGAAGCTCAGAAAAGCAAAGTGATATGCCCCAAACCAAAG